TTTGCTTTGTGTAGAACTGAGACAGGAGTCTGTGGCTCCATTTATATTAGTTCCTGAACACATTTAATTTACATTCCCAGGTGCTGAGGCCAGTTGGCATGGGATAACTTGCTTCTGCTTTGAAACTCATCAGCTTCAAAAACTACATCTAACTCCCCAATGGAGAATGGTCCCTAGAACACCCTCACTCCAAAACTTTGTGTGGAAATTGTTTGCAAGAACACTACTTGGCAAAGAGCAAGTGTGCCAAGGCCCTACGCAGGTCCGGGTAAGAAGCCACCACGCTGCACACAGCTCAGGTAAGAGCTGCTGCTGCTCTGACACCAGAGCAGAACGTGCAAGAGTCGCTGCTGTAACTCAATTTTTCCTGGCCTTCCTATCAAAGTACCTGGTTTCTCACATTTCTGAGGGAGTCCCATTTGCCTCTTGGACTGCTCACAACTACAGAAACTGCAGAAGGCATTGCCTACAAAAACCTTGTAGAGAATAACTTGCTCTTGTAGAAGAAATACGGCATAACTTGAACCACAAAGAAGTTCCTTTCACATAGGTGTGAACAAGAGTATTATTATACGACCTGAGGGACTAGAGAAAAACAAATCTGAAGAAAATTACTACCACCTTTGTCTCTTCCCTGTAGAAGAACAGAAATCAGCTCGGCTTTTAACGCTGTAATGCCATCTTTCAGGACGGCATTACCTGAACCATATGGTAAGACCCATCATGAGAAGACAGCAGCTCTTCAAAACACACCTTAGAAAAAAGACGAGTTATTCTCAGGTTCTGCAAATTGACAAGAGATCAGTGAAAATTGCGTCCCCTTCCAAGTAAAACCCAGCGCACTTTCCGCAAACACTCACAGAATTGTCTGTTTCTGTAGAGGCTTGCAACACAGTAAGGAGAATGGTATGGATGAAATGGGAATAGAAAAGCGTGTGAGAGCGAGACGGAGATAACAACACGGCAAGGGTTAATTTCCTTCTCTCTCCCCCTCTCTCTCTCATATCCTTATTAGTGCTAAATATCTAACACAATTCATCATGGCACTCCCTTTGGCAGCTGCTCGTTGTTAACTAAACACATATTCACATCAGATAAATACACTTCAGTGCTGCCTGTGTCAAACTTCTACAGCGATCACATACTCTCGCTTTGCCTCCAGCATCCACCTGTCTCCTGGGTAGACAGTGAAACCTGACAGAGAACACGTGGTTTGCTCCCGAGAACCAGCAACAGCAACTAATGGTGGTAACACATTTTTCATTAAGAAAGCAACTCTATTATCAAAAGTTATTAATCTGCAGATTAATAACAGAAGCACTTCTAAACTGGCTTGGAAACCTGAAGTTTGTGTTACGCTTTGTCCTAGAGCAATGAGAGAGTGATGCTAATTTCTGTAGCAAAGTCACCTTTCTGCTGCCAACAAACAGATTTCAGCGCAGAATGGCAAAGGACAGCGATGAGGCAGCCAGCACCCAGCATCACTGTGAAACTTTTCTGGATAGGAATTAGTGACTGAAGCAGAAAAGCTCTCATTATTCATCCTCCAAAGTATCTGGTATCACGTAAAAACTAATTCTTGAATTCAAACACACTCCAACAAAAATAGTTCAGCAAGAAGCACAAAGGGGCACGAAGGAAACCATGACACATGTTTTCCAAGCTCCGAGGCCCATTCTCTGTTGTTAATCTTTAGTTTAGTTAATTACTCTGATTTAGTGAGCAGCCCATCAAACGAAGAAAAGCCAACTTCAATTTGCAAATCAACGGACTTGAAAAGATGCAGTCTGTTTTTGCCTTAGCTGCCCACTGCCAACGTAATGGAGGCAATTATATTTTAAAGGAGAAGTATGTTCCGGATAAAAAAAAAAAAAAATGTGGGAGTTTTACAATCAAACCTTCATTTTCTTACTACCTAAAAATCCAGGTTCTAAAACATACATAGTACAGCTAGGAAGACCAGATGCAGCTCACATATGACCATCTTGGTTCTTGTACAATAATTCTTTCACGGTTTTCATTTATTAAAAGAGAATACAGATGTCCCCAGAGAGCCCAACGATCTACTATGAGAAGTTCAAGCGTTCAGAGAAACTCAGAATCGGACCCCAAAATTTCCTGTTTGCTTTTACAGTCTTTTTTACTACAAATCAGGTTGGTCATACTTGGGAAAGAGGACAGCCACGTAACAGGACATAAGATCTAGCCGGAACTCTATTTAGAACGACACTCTCACGAACAAAGACAAGCTTGCTCTGTCCCAACCGCGCTGCTCACACAGTGGCTGTGTTCACCTCCAACCCACCGGAAGAAGGTCAGACCCCCCCGGCGCAATAACTCAGTCGCAAAGTTCAAGTTCATAATGTTGAAGGAGAAGTTCTAATTCTGAAAAAAAAAGGTGACTTTACAGATTACAGGAATCTGATAATTATCTACAGAAAGGAGAATTCGCACACAGACTAAAACTCATGGATTCTTGCTAGCTGATACAGTAAAACCAAACCTCCTTTCCCTTTAAATATGAAGAAAACACAAAGCATTTCTTTCTCAGGAGGAAGAGTTACAACTTTGGAATTATAGCAGGAGAGCTCATCTCACAAGTAACACCTTTGATGTCCAGAGCTCTCACAGCCAGGGGAGAGCCATCCACGCAGAGTTCTTGAGTCGGGGAGACAATCTCAATACTGTCTATCACATCAACAATGACATCACAACAGAGTAAATGGCCTGTCACTACAACAAGAGAACAAATAATCCTTAATTCAGCATCTACAAGCTCATAATGGCTTCAAAACTTGTGAAAAGCTAGTACTAGTGAAAATAATAAAGAACAAACAGGTGGCTTCCTGTCCTACAGAGCCTGAATAATACACTATCACAAACCATAGGTTTTTCAACAGAGTAGTTAAATTGTTCTTCTTTCTAAAAATGTACATTTATGCGTACAATCCTCTGCTCTATGAATTTTTACACTCTACCCACCACGTTCCTCAGCCATCACAACACTGCCTACCTTTCTCACTTATGAAGACTGAGCAGACACCAAAGCATTTTGGGAACAAATGATGCCATTCTCATCAACGGGCTCAACAGTGACTGTATCATAACGTGAGGAAGGCCTGAACGAAAGACAGAAAGATGCTTTCCCACACCCCTACTCACAGGAGTATCTTTAAAAAGGCTTAAAACCAAAAAGTGGCAGAGTGATTAAGTAAATGCAGGTTTATATTGTCATTAAACTACTCCCTTTTTTCGTATTTACTCCTGCAACAATCTGCTTCAGCGCATTCTTCTCCGTTCTGGGTAGAGCTGGCTCCCAACAGCTCACGTACCAAGTTCCAAAGGTGCACAGGCCAACAGCTGGCGGTCCCTCTTCTCCAGGTTTTGACGTTGACACCAGCCAAGAACCCAGAAAACCCACCAACCCAGCTCTGACTACACAAACCGGCGCCCCACAGCCAAGCACAAGCAGAGGGGACAACATCCCCTCGGTCCCCCCGTCAGATCGCTGATGCCCCTTGGACTACGGTGCTGCTGAAGAAGGCGAGAGCCTTCTGCCTCGCCAGCAGGCAGCGCAGCCGTGACCAGCACCCCGCAGCGCGGCCATCAGCTCGCG